CTTAATCTCTCTCTTAGAAAACAAGGGCAGTGTATGTGATGCATAGCAACCAATCTCTTGCCCCTTGGATTCTGTGCAGACTTGAAAACAGCGGTTCCCAGATCAAAGATGGCAGCCAACTGCTCTGCTCTGAATGTGTGTCATGCTCCTCAGTCCTGGCAATGATCCAATCTCAAGCATCAGCGTCCTGAAAGGGCTCACTATGCCTCTCCTGAGTCTCCCATTCCAGGGCTTTGATCTGTAATTTTTCCCATTCCGGTCATAGTTCCAGGTCACCCCAATTTTACAAATTCAGGTCTCTTCTGGTTTTGCTTAGTTGGCCATGACCAAACCGGGAAGAACAGGTTCAAAGCCCTGGTTATTTGCAGTAAGTTGTTTTCCTGAACACAGAAGGTGGGGGGATTTCTTTAATTGTTGCTGTTTTCCAGTATCACAAGGTCCAGGTAAAATTTAGTTTTATTAATGTATGTATATAACTAAGATAATAATACATGGTTTTGCATCTTGATTTTTCCCACTACATAGAACATCAAGAACCTTCAAAAATATCATTTGTAATGGCTGCACTGTATTTAATAAGAGGATGCACTGGAGTTTATCTTCTATTGCTGGACATCTGAATTGTTCCCATTTTTTGTAATAAAAAGAACAATGTGGTGACCATCTGCACACAGAGTGCTCAAAACATTTGCTGAATGAGTGTTGTGTACAGATGTTTGAATCTCTAATTATTTCTTTAGAATCAAGTCTTAAAAGTAGAATTACTGAGTCAAAAGGTATGAAAATTTTTAAGTTTTTAACACACACTGCCGGGTAGCTTTCCAAAAAGATTATACCAATGAACACACCCGCCAGCAGAGTATAAGACTGGTCATCACATTGCACACTTAGCAATGACTGTGTAAAGAAAAACTATTGAAAGCTTAGAAATAAAGCAAGAAGATGAATGCATGCCCTTTCAAAGTCATACTGGGGTACTGTTTAACAGGCTCACTCCAGGATTATTTAATTATCGAGACAATGAACCACTGTTTCACTTTATTATTCAGTAAAAGATCACCCTAAAGATTACAATTTTATTGCCCTGTAGGGCATTTACCAGTTTCATATCTATTAGCAAATTAATTTCTGCACTAATTTGATTAACATACACATTTCCATTCCTCAAATTCTCTTTTGAACCAGCTTTACCATCTTACTGCTTCTCTCACTAAGTAATGAGTTGAATCAAACCTTCAGTAAACATTCATTCTATATTTATATGAGTCATGTTTTTAACTTTTTGAAAATCATGCTTGTACAATATATTATCCTTTTTAAAAATAAAAACTTTGAGAGCACTAACTGGTTAACTATGGAGAATAACATTTAGGCTATGTATGCATATTGAAATAATATTTTAAAAAAACTGCATTCCCTGAGCACATACAGGCCAGCAGTAAGGAGAGGAACCAAATATGAGCTGGGGCAGAACTTCGGAGCCGACGTGGCTAGCAATCCTCTGTAGGAAGTAATTAACATTCTGATAAAAGGCCTTAGAAATTTTCTGGTAGACCTTTACGTGATCAGGAACTCCAGAGGAATTAAGGTTAACAAGCCAGGTGACCTACTGGCCTAATCATTTTTGAGCTGGACTTCTTTTTCCCCCTATAAATGCCTCTACCAAGAAAGAAATAGTCCAGTTGGCTTGTTCAGGAACTCTACCCTTACAGCAACCTTGATATAAAACTTTGACACATGCTTGTTGCCAATTTGCCTTAGAAGTTGCTTCAACACACAGAACCACATAAGGGAGCCAAGATATCTACAAGCACTAAAAAAGATCACATCAACAACTCTGTCCCTGTTCCTGGGCCACAAACAGAGAAGGAATGATCCCTTGCAGTGTGCACGGGGTCAACAAAAGCATGTTATACAAGACTAGCCTCATCTTCTCTCTGGGCAGGTTATTAACATGCTAAGAAGCCTGGGTGGTGCAAGCCGTTTGGAATAGTCTGCTAACCTAAAGGCTGGTGGTTCAAACCCACCCAGTGGCTCTGCAGAAGAAAGTCCTGGCAAACTACTTCCCTAAAGACAGCCGAGAAAACCCTATGGGGCAGTTCTGCTGTATAACACATGGGGTCACCATGAGCTGGAATTGATTCAATGGCAACAGGATTAAAATGCTAAAGCAGGTGACTGCTATAGTCACAGCCCCTGGGCTTCAGTATGGCATTTGACAAATGTCTCAGGATGGCCCGTGGAGAGCATGGAGACGCGAGAGGTGGGTGATATTTCAGGTACAGGCTCAGCGTCATGCAAGCCTACACCTCTACCCAGAGGGTACCCTTGAGGGGATCGGTGTCATCAGGAGGTCTGAGGGCATAGCTTGGGATTTTTTTACACTGACTTCGGTGCAGACATCAACGAGGTGTGTATCAAGTTTGTGAACAACGTGAAAGTAACTGATATGCTGGATGTCGGTAGAGATCCCCAAATAGGCTGACAAGCTTAAATGTGAAGTCCAGCTCTCAGGTTAAATCAATCAACCATGTAAGTACAGGATGGCAATGGCAGCAGGTGTGTCTGTGTGCGTGAAAAGGTTTAGGGGCTTCACTTGATGGCAGGTGCCCTATGAACCACAGTGACGTGTGGCTGCTAGATGTTTCCTGGGGACAATGCCTAGAATGAGACAGGTGAGAGGTCTCCTCCACCCTGCCCTGGGCCAACCGTTGGGAGAACTGCGTGCAGTTCTGGGCACGGAGATAAAATGGCAAGTCTTCAGCGGAGGGGTTGGCTGCATAAACTAAGGAACTGTCGAAGGGACTGGGGACACACAGCCAGAAGGAGAGACACCTTGGGGAGCCATGACAGCTGTCCTCAAATGTGGGACAGATGGCTGGCCCTGGCAAAGGGGCTCAGTCTGTTCTGTTTAGCTCTGAGGACAGAACAATGGGTAGCAGTTACAGGGAGGCCCACTGCTGCTCTATGAAAGGAAGACTTTTCTAGAAGTTTCCATCGTTCTCAGTTGGAACGTGTAGGCCTGTGAGACAATGAGTTCTGGGCCACTGAAGGGGTTCAAAGAGAAACTGGACATGAAGTTAGGGACAAAAGAGGATTTTCATTCATCAGGAAAAAAGAAGCTGGACCAGGTCTTTAAGCTCCCTTCCAACATCGGACATGCATATACATCTTACGGAGCCCCTGGGTGGTACATCTGGTTAATGTACTTGGCTGCTAACTGAAAGGTTGGAGGTTCGAGTCCACCCAGAGGTACTTCAGAAGAAAGGCCTGGCAATCTATTTCTGAAAAATCAGCCACTGAAAACCCTATGGAGAACAGTTCTACTCTGACACGCATGGAGTTGCCACGAGTGAGAATCGAGTGATGGCAACTAGTTACCCATCTTATAGGCTGAAATTTTAACTATAACAAGAGATGGTGGCTACCCAGGCAATCCTTATCTCCCTGACCAGAGAAAGGCGCTGTCTGGGGCAGGACCTGCTGGCATGACTTGTTCTGACCTTTAAACTCAGAGACACCATGAAGTCTTGCTCACATCGACTCTACTTCCTGTTGAGGCAGAGCAGCCAGGCTTGGCCACCCCACTGCAAGGGTTAAGGCCCAAACCTCCCTTTGGTTATGGGTTTCCCGACAGGGCATCTCTTACAGTAACATCTGGCTCTGGCATTTCCCGCTCTGCCCCAGGGGGCGCGTCTCCTTCTCCCCGCCCTTCCGGCAGGGGTGGGAAATGCGTGCCAAGCAGGAAGCCTACACAAAGGCTGGCATCCACCTTCTCTTTGTCCGTTTGGGCTTGGTTCTGTCTGGATGGAGGTCTCAGACTGTTCACAGCCTGGCACAGCGACCAGAAAAACCAAAACCCAAACCCACTGCTGTCGAGTCAATTCCTACTCAGAGTGACCCTATAGGACAGAGGAGAACTGCCCCACAGGGTTTCCAAAGAGCAGCTGGAGACCAGAAATGAACCCCAAGTAATCTGAAGGCAATAAACTTCAGTTTTATGGATGCTTGTTGTTGCTATTGTGTGCTGTTGAGTCAATTTCCAACTCGTAGTGACCCTACAGAACAGAGTAGAACTGCCCCATAGGGTTTCCTAGGCTGAAATCTTTATGGGAGCAGATCACCAGGCCTTTCTCCCACGAAGCAGCTGGGTGGGTTCAAACTGCCAACCTTTGGGTTCGCAGCCGAGCGCTTAACCATTGTGCCACCAGGGCTCCTTTAAGATGCTTATCATTAAGCTCTGAATGCCTCAGAGAGGGTGACAGGCTATCATGCCTGGTGATTCCCCAAGTTTTCTGCACATTAGAATCCCCTGTAGAGCTTTAAAAACTCCTAATGCCTAAGCCACGCCCCAGACCAATTACAACAGAATTTCAGGCAGGGCCTGGGCCTCCATATTTGTTACAACTGGTCAGGTGATTACTCTGTGCAGCCACATTGGAGAACCAGGAATCTAGGCCAGGAGTTCGGAAACTTGAAAGGGCAAACTCATCACCTGGGGTTCTGGCTAAAATGCAGACTCTGATTCAGTGGGCCTGGGCTAGGGCCCGAGGTTCTGCATATCTAACAAGCTCCCAGGTGATGCTGCTGCTGCTGCCCATGACCCACTCTCTGAGAAGATTCTAGCCCACTGACAAATTAAACTCAGGCTTACTAACCAAAAATGTCAAACCCATTGCCATCAAGTTGACTCTGACTCATGGTGACCCCATGTGTGACAGAGTAGAACTGCTCCATAGGGTTTTCTTGGCTGTAATCTTTGTTGAAGCAGATCACCAGGCCTTTCTTCTGTGGCACTGCTGGGTGGGTCTGAACTGCCGACCTTTAGGTTAGTAGTTGACTGCAAACCACCTGCGGCACCCAGGGACCTCAGCTCTACCAGCTGGGCTGATCTTCCAGAGGGGCTATAGAAGCCTGGGGTTCCCCCAATCACTGAGCAAGAGTTAAAGAACAGTTTATTCTGGGGGTTAGCTCATGTTACACGGAGGAGCGCTTCTTGCCTTCTGGGCTGCAGCCATCACTTGCTGTTCATAGATGTCGAGGTTCTGGTTCATTAGCTCCAAGGCCTGCTTTCGGGAGGTGAGAGCTAGAGGGTCTGGACTCAAGATCGACTGGTGCTCGTACACGGCAGCCACGTAATATTCAGCCACGTGATGTTCAGCCATGCGATGCTCAGCCACGCGATGCTTCCCGGTGTGTGCTCCCAGGGCAGCCACGTAACAGCCGAAGAGGAAAAGAGCAAGCTTACTGCTGGCTCCAGACATGATGGAGACCATAAATCTGAAATGTAATGGGGCAAGGGGAAAACAGCTGAGTAAAAAATCCTGCCAAGAATTTAACTTCTGCAGCTGTGATTTTTTAATCCCAGCAATTAAACACTCGAAGTGATACTGCAGCTCAAAGAGTTCGTTTCATGTTCCTAATAAAAGGGTACGTGCTTCTCTGCAAACATGTAGCAAGCTACGTTTAAAATGGCTTACTGTGTTAATGGTCTGGTTTTAGCACATTTCCAAAACAGATTCAAAATCTGCCACGATTTTCTTACCCAGTGTTCAGCAAGATTGCAGGGCATCACCACTTGCTTTTCCAGCTGCACACTTGTTTAAAGCAATACAAATTACTCCAATTATTTTACATAATTCTGTGACACAGTCCACACTCCCCACTATACATACAAACATACTACAGATCAACCATACCAGCTATGATTGATGTGATCCCAATAGTACAGCCCAGCTTTCCTAACCATAAATACCTGACGGATTAGCGTTCTCCTTGCATTTCTGTAGTTAGTAATGAATATAAGGGCTAAATCCCCTTTTACTCAGCACAACATTCATTCTTCAGGGCAGAGAAACTACTGACTTCTGCCTATATGCCAGTATCTACTCTCTCTTATGGACAGGCAAAAAGAAGCACCCCCATATCCATCTATATGCTACCTACAAGAGACACACCTAAAGACACAAACTAAAACTCAAAGGATTAAAAAAAATATACATCAAGCAAACAACACTCAAAAGAGAGCAGGAGTGGCAATATTAATCTCTGATAAAATAGACTTTAAAGTAAAATCCACCACAAAGGATAAGGAAGGATACTATATAACGATCAAAGGGTCAATACAAAAGCAGGACATAACTATAATAAATATTTACACGCCCAACGACAGGCCTCCAAAATACATAAAACAAACTCTAACAACACTGAAAAGAGAGATAGACAGCTCCACAATAGTAGTAGGAGACTTCAACACATTGCTTTCAGTGAAGGACAGAACATCCAGAAAGAAGCTCAACAAAGACACGGAAGAGCTAAATGCTACAATCAACCAACTTGATCTCATAGACATATACCGAACACTCCACCCAATAGCAGTCAAGTATACTTTCTTTTCCAACACACATGGAACATTCTCCATAATAGACCACATATTAGGCCACAAAGCAAGCCAGAATCCAAAACATCAAAATATTACAAAGCATCTTTTCGGACCATAAAGCCATAAAAGTACAAATCAATAACAGAAACAGCAAGGAAAAAAAAAATCAAATAACATGGAAACTGAAAAATACTTTGCTCAAAAACTACTGGGTTATAGAAGAAATCAAGTATGGAATAAAGAAATTCACAGGATCAAATGAGAATGAAAACACATCCTACCAGAACCTTGGAGGCACACCAAAGGCAGTGCTCAGAGGTCAATTTATGGCAATAAGCACACACATCCAAAAAGAAGGGCCAAAATCCAAATACTAACCCTACAACTCTAATAAACAGAGAGCAGCAAAAGAAGCCCTTGGGCACCAGAAGAAAGGCAATAATAAAAATTAGAGCAGAAATAAATGAAATAAAAAATAAAAAAAGAACTGAAAGAGTTAACAAGACCAAATGTGGTTCTTTGAAAAGATCAAAATCAATAAACCCTTGGCCAAACTGACAAAAGATAAACAGGAGAGGAAGTAAATAACCCATATACAAAATTAGATGGGTGATATCACAACAGAGCCAAATGAAATTAAAAGAATCATAAAAGAACACTATGAAAAATTTACTCTAACAAATTTGAAAACCTAGAGGAAATGGACAAACTTTATAAACTCACTACCTACCTGAACTAACACAAATAGAGGTAGAAAAACTAAATAAACCCATAATAAAAGAAGAGATTGAAAAAGTAATTAAAAAACTCCCAACAACAACAACAAAAAGCCCTGGCCTGGATGGCTTCACTGGAGAATTCTACCAAACTTTCAGAGAACAGTTAACACCACTACTACTAAAGGTATTTCAGAGCATAGAAA